GATCTAGTCCATTGCTCCCATGCGGTGCCCGATGCAGAAGGTGTTCATTACCACTTCCACCAAGCTCCATTGAGGCCCGATGCAGAAGACGATCAGCGCCGCTTCCGCCAACGCTCAAAGAAGCTCCAGGCACAAAAGACGCATGCTGCGGGTTGACCCTAGATTCAAAACCTCCATTCCAGTATCCAGATTCATGAAACGCTGTTGGAATTGAAACCTTGTTCAAAACAGAACGAAGTGCTTGAACTTCTTGTTCCAGCCAAAACTGTTTTGCTTCACTTGCCGTCACAACACCCTCACACTGAGGCTTCCATTCACGATCTCCATTTCTCACACGTGGCTTTGACTCACATGTATCATAGATACCACTCATGTTTTCCTTCTCTACCACATCCTGACCATTCTCAACCATTGGAATTGGTGGTACCGGCGGCCAAAAAGGTTCAGACTGAGGTGGCGGCCCGGCTGGTACCTTGGTTCCATTCGGCGTGAACCTGGCTGGTTCCTTGTTCCTCTCAGGACTAACCGCTGCATCTCGATTCTTGGATGACCTGGGAGTCCTGCTACCATGTCTACTGCTTCGCACTTGTTGAAAAACCTCTACACCACCTGCACCGCTAGTAGAAGATTCTCCCCCATTGACAGCAGACCATGGTGTTGATTCCATCCCAGAGTTGGCCCTGTTGGACCCATCATTCTCCAGTTTCGTCTTGAGAGTTGCTAATTCTTCCATTAGCATTGAATTCTGTCGCCTCAAAAAAAGTCCACCAGCTCACCTTCTAGTGCCCTCTGAAGCCCTTCTGTGTCTTGACCCCCATTTTGATTCCCAGCTGCTTGGCTAACAGACCCCATAGATTTCTTTACAGTCTCTCCAGCAGGCATGGCCCCTTCCGTCCTCAGATTGCTATGGCCTCGAACTGTAGGCCGCTGCAGCACAGACTCACTTGCCGAACTGCATCCACGGCCCTTCCCAGTCGGACCCATCGCCGTCTGAAAAAGTTGCCCTTCTCCACCCGCTGAGCTCTGCAAAGGCTCCATCATGCTGCCGCCACCATCTGGACTCGTTGGCAGGTCCGCTGGCCTAAATGCCTGAAGCCTGCATTCAGCCTGGGCCTTCTCCGAGTACCAGGGATTGCCAGGAACCGTGGGAAACGCTGACTTGGGCTCATAACCCTTGTCACAGCCGAGGGGTAAAACCTTGTTTTTGTACCAAAATGCCTCCATGTAAAAGGTGATTCGTGCCTATCTGAACGGGTATGTATATATATATATAGATGTTGTGAGGCAAATATCGTTTCAGGGTGGACCAAAACATTCCTGCTTCACAATGATTCCTTCGAAATGTGCTTGCCTTTTTTGTCAGATGCTGGTGACCATCTTCTCGCGGAACAGTGCCCTCAGGGGCTCAGTGATACAGGAGTTCCTGTCTCGAGCACCAAGGCCACAGGGTACAATGTGTGGTTGGGAATTGGCAGAGGACAGAGGACCAGAACGGGACAAGTGTTGGATTCGACTCTGGCATTCCTCGTTTCAGGCTACCTTGTGGCAAACGTGCCAAGAAGTTTCAACTACCGGCGACCGAGGCCAACTTGGCACACGGAGCCTGAGATGCAAAACTGTGATCAAACTGTTACAAAACTTGTCATTTCTGAAATTTCGTGCTGAGTCTGCCAAGTCTTAGACTTAATTTGGACTTAAGCTAAACTTGCTTGAGCAGGATAACGCAGCCTATGGCCTGAGCACATGGACGCATTTGCCTGGAGCCTGTGGAAAGCGGAGACTGATCAGTCTGATGACCAGTTTGTCAATGCAAGAGGATAGTGATAAATTGTGATAGTGACTCCCTTTCTTTGATGCATTCTGAAGGACCCGAGCCATGTTTTTGATGTTTTTGCCACCTGGTCAAAAGCCGAACTATAGTTGTTTTTGGTGTCAACGCCAGTAAGAGGCCATGCGCGTGTTGATATTTTGGGGGTGGGGGGGGTGGGGTGGGAGAATAACGTTCATTTCGACTTCAACTACATAGTACATTCTCTTGCACTTCCACACATACGTCATGCTACGCTGCTGGACGTTCTCTTGCACTTCCACACACACACACACACACGTCATGCTACGCTGCCGGACGTTCTCTTGCACTTTCTACAGTTTAAAAGACCGATTCCGAGGCAGTTACATACACACAAAGACTGTAGACAAGACTTCATGAAATTTTGGAAGTACCTGTATGCTGCAGTCTGGCGCAAAAGCGTGACAGGCAATGTCCTCAACAAACTCAGACAACTTTGTACTTGAATCAAAAAAAACGAACTTTTTCACGGAGCTCTTGGTATACAGAATTACAATTTCGTTGTGGTAAAACACTAGATTTTCCACTTTTGAGGCGACCCTTCCATGGAATTTGAACCACAAATTTACTGAAGAAAAACCAAAATGTGCAAATCACTACAGTTTCGGACACTTCAACCACCATCATGTCATTGTCTGATGTCGTCACCGACACGGCCCCTTACAGATGTTGAAACCTTTGCTTTTCCCTTTCTATCATCTCTCCCTTGTGGTTAGACATGTGCACATTGGGGACTGAACATCTTCAAATGCTGCTACCCGAGGCTCTTACGGCTCTGCCAGTCAAGCTGCCTTCCACTCCGAGAGCCTATTGGTATCCCCCGCAGATTTGAAAAGCACCTCAAGTAGGTCTAGAAACGGAGCTCCTGCTGCCTTGATCTTGACTTGACCATGGGACCATGGCATGCTCTAATAGCTCTAAGAGCGTGATTTGACCTGCTTTGTTTGGCTTTGTGCTCTGTCATAGTACTCCAGGTGCCCATGTGGACTTTGAGGCTGTCGTGCAGCAGAAACCCGGTCTACAAACAGTCTCCAACTCTGATTCCAGAACGAACTGCTGGATCGGTGCATTCTGGGCATTCGGGGATCGAGTATAAGGGGGAATCTTCTCGAAGAATCAGCGGTACAGGACGCCACTATGCTCTTGAAGCAAAACAAACCGCACTGATTCTCTTTTGATCAGCTGTGGGCCATCAGACTCAGGTCATTGCCCAGCTCATGGCCGGTTTGCTGCAACGTTTGGTGTTATCCCGCAGTGCTTAGCCCAGGGTGGGCAGTGGTTCGCGCCACAGGATCCATTGCAATTACATGTTGCAATTCATTTTCATGCTATTGTATGTAAGGCGCTTGTTTCTTGGAAAAGGTATTTTGTGGGTGCGGTCCAGTAGTTTCACGGCTGTGCGATCTTGGTAGCAATTGGAGGAATTTCTTCTGATAGTGTGACACATTGCTTTACTTGGTCAATCGATTTGGGCTGAGGCAAAGATGAAGAGGCTCGAGGAATCCTCGAGGTGCAGTATTGTCATTGTAGGATCTGGATGAAGTCTGCCCCACTAGTTCCATTTGCATGACTTTGTACTTGTCCAATTGCAGAGATTTTCTAGGCACCTTAAGATCTTCATTTTCTCTTGGTAGTCAGAACATAATTATTTCCGTGCACAATGAAGCTTTTGCAGAGCAACCTATGACGTTTTTTCTTTCACTTCTTGTCCGGAATGTTTTGACTCCCGATGCATGTGACTCTGTTCAATGCTCGAGACTTCGAGAGATCCAATCTGCAAGTGATGGAATCGGCACCGTGAGGACTTTGCAGAAGAATTGCTCAATGCTGCCTTCAAGCCCATGTGGCCTGCTGCCAGGGCCACGTTTGATAACTAGAGTCGGACCTTTCTTGTCTTGCTTGGCTGGAAGTCTGATCGTTCTTATGTGTGTCATCAGGACATGATCACTTATCAGCTTATTTTTAGCTGGGGTTTGGATGGTTTGGAGGCCATAAACGTAGTCAGTTTTCAAAGTTTCCTTGTGTCTGACACAGACTGTCACCCTTTATCCTATTGCACATGGCTGAGGCTGTGTCCCTGCTGCGGCCTGAGATTGTTTCTGAAGATGCCATTGATTCAGATCACTTCAAAGTGGTTCACTCTGATTGATTAAACAAATGTTATTGGTTTATATTGGTTCACAGGGAATAAGATAAATTTGTAAGGGCTCCTGAACAAACATGCTTTCAAAGAAGTTTCCGACATGCCAGTGATTCTTCTTCAGTCTTTGTCTAGCAAACTTGGGCCATAAGGAAAGAATGGATAAGCGCGGATAACCACCTGTGGTCACAATGGCAGAATGACTCACGAATGACCCACGGGGCTTAATGCTCTAACAGCTTGGATCAAACGTCACAGGTTGCGATATTTGCTTCAGCAGCTTATTGCCTTGCTCCAAGAGAAGAAACAGGCGGCGGCCGAAAGTCTGATATGCTGCTTTTATATTGAATCTGCAAGGTTTCAACTTTTGAAAACCTGGCCATAATGATTTTGTAGCGCAGCTCATGTCACCTGCTATTGAAACGGTGTCCCTGTGTTGCTTACTGTACATGGCATATCATTGGACGTACATATATGCACACACACACATATATATAATAGTAATAATAATAGTAGTAAATAATTGATAATGATAACAATAATAATGACAATGATAATGATAATAATATGTATATATATATACATACATATACATACACATACATACGGTATACACACATTTCGCAGCTGGTTGTCGGTTGTTTACTTGACCAATACAGTCTCCGGGGTCTTCAAGTGGTAAACTCACAGGCTGGTGACATCACAGTTCGCGAATTTGCTCTGAAGCTTCTGTGCAGCTGCCATGTTTGCCCCCGGACTTCATGCAGTTGCAGAGGGAGTCTGTTGAGAGCAATGGTTTGAAAGTATTCGAGTGAGAAGCACCAGCCATTTTCACAAGTGGGTCAGTGCAGTGGCAAGGAACATGGCAATTTGATGGAATGTTCGATAGCACCGCACGACATGATGTGCATAGCCTAGCATGGTCCATGGGGCGAGGTCGGGGAATCACAAGAAATTCGAAGGTACTTCCCTTTCTCACTTTTCTTGCTTTGCTTGCTCAGAGGCCGTTTGAAAGCAGCTGAAATATCAGTAGCCCTGAGCAATGGAGCTTCCCCCTGCAAAGCGGATGAAATCCTGCCCGGAGGACAGCCATGGGATCGAGATGCTGTAAATGGCGCCACTGTTCTGTCCCGTTTCCAGTGGACAATTTGAGATGATTTGAAGTATTATATAATGTTCAGGAGAAAGCGTCCTTGGTTGCGCGGCTCCTGGCGGCAAAAGAACAGAGTGGAAAAACATTTGACGAGCGCCTGGTCAGCAGAAGCAGCGAAGCAGCGATTCCAGATTCTCTTCACAGCTAGCAGGAAAACAACGAAGCCTTTTTTACCCTTTGACTCTGATTGTCCATGTCATGATGTGGATGTACTGCTTTGGAAATAGTTTTTTGAGACAAGGTTGAGAAGGTGTCCAGCACCTGTACAAAGCCAGGTTCTAGCCAATCCAAGTCAGTTCCGAACATCCGACCGCAGTTGACTTGACACATTTTGAGGATATCCATGGAATCCATGGTTCGTGGTCTGGTCAGTTCATGGTCAGTTCATGGCTATTTATGTGAGTGACCTTGGATGGTTCTCGGGCACGAAGGATTGCGCTGGGCCTTGGGCTGACCAATGCCTACACAGTGACTTGCACTGAAAGTTCTTCTTGGACAGTTCACAGACGTAACAGGCGAGCACTCAACATTTCAAGCTGATTGCTTCCTAATCCAAGCCGACCATGATCCCCGATGAAGATCCACAAAGACGGCAATTAGGCCACATGATCATAATAATCAAAAAGAGCTGAAGATCCCTGGACAATTGTCCTAGAAAAGTTGCATCAGGTTCTGAAGCATTGATTTGCAGAAGGACTAACTTGGGCAGACTGATGAATCAAGACAATTCAAGACAAGCAAAGACTCGATCAGGACGTACTAAGGCCCTGCTCTGAAGCATCATATACATTACATACCCAAATAAAGGCGCTGGAAAAGAATTCCTGCTGCAACGCATGGTTTTGCCAGTGTGCGAAGAGCCAGACCCGTGACTTTTAAATGATAGATCATGAGGAATGTCGCGCGGCATGTTTTGTTGTTGTGAAACTGTTGACCGTTGGCAGAATCAAACTACACATGCCAATCCAACTGAGCCAGCTGAAGTGAATTTGCATAGCAGATGCATCACAAAATGCCACCCCATATATGCCGGATATATATATAATTATATACATACACACACACACCTCCCCGACTTCACCCCAAAACTAACACCTTTGAATTTGCATCAGTTGCATGCAGACATGCTAAAACAAAAACTAAGCGCTTGTGTCCCAGAGAAATGGAGAAAATGATAGAACATGTGTCCCAGGAACATCCAGAAACTGGAAAAGGGCGCCTGCGCAGCTTGTTTTGTTTGATACAGTGCAAGAGGAGACACTACATCACATCGTGCATTATAGCCACTAGAAATTGAAGTCACAGACAATCGCATGAGATACTCCACATTCAGACACTAGCAGGACATCCGAGGTGCAGCTTTGACAAATACGATCATAATATCAATGTGTCTTCTGTGTCTTCGCAGCTCATTTTTCCCTGTCCTCTGCACTGAACAGAGTCCACTGATGTAAGCTGGATGGTTTGGCTAGACTCGGCTAGACTTGTAGATGTTTTGTGAATTTCACACTGCTACTTCCCAGACATTTGCGGTTTGGGTCATGCCTAGGCAAATCTCTTTTTCAACCAGGCGCAATTGAAACCCACCGCTGCTGCCAAGATAAAGGAGAAGTAGTGGGTTTGCAATTGGTGAAGGGCCAGGTGTGGTCCGGGAAAGAGCGTTGTAGTCACAGTAGCCATCCAATGCAAATTCTCTCACTTGTGATGGTAGTCTAACGTCGGATTTGATAGATTCTCTACACTGCTTGTCAGGGTTCAGCTTACAAAGCGGTCCGGACAGACTGTCAAACATTTCAAGACATTTTGCTTACATAGAGCAAAAATGTTATTCAACGTTCATGTGGCTCATGAGAGGGTGAGATCCTTGCCGTACAGGCCGTACAGGTCATGTTGCCCAAGGGGTGCTTAAGGTAATTCAGACAAATTTGGTGATTGAAACAGTTTCTATGTTTCGAGACCTAAAAGGCAGTTTTGAGCGTTGCATCATGTTGCATCATTGCATGGATGACAAGCAGTGACAAGCACGTTTGGTTGTGGGAAGACTAACGTGAGGAGTTGGTGCCGGGCATCAACGACGAGGATTTGAAGGCCATGCAAAAGCCACCTATGCGCAGCTTTGATCCGGCCATTCTGCAGGAGAGGGCCAAACTTTGGGAGACTGGACTGGCGTGGCTAAATCCTCGTCCAAATTAGCTCAAAGGAGCTCTTCACTTTGAGGTTAGCATTTTTCCACTCTCGGATCCCCGTCTAAAATTCCCTATTTTGGTTGATTTGGTTGATTTGATGGCTTGATTTTTGCCTATTTTCGAACCTACCTGGAACGATCCGCAACTAAACGTTTTTCAGGGAAGTTGAAACCACCAATCCAACTCGACAAACTTAGAGACTTAGACTTAGAACGTTTCTAGGTCAACGACAGGTTTGTGCCTGATCCGTCCTTTGCAGTAAGACTTTTCATGAGTTTCCTGCTGGATGGCCATTTCAAGGCACTGTCTTAGATCTGTTTAAATCCTAAAAGCAGTTCGGAAGGTAACACTGATAGTATTGGCTTTTGGGGATGCGTCCTGGCTGCCTTGCTCACTTCACCTGATAGTGCAGACCCATACCTGGCTCCTGTGGCCGTCCAATCTCATACTAGGACCACTAGAAATCACTGGAAGTAGGGATTCAACAAATATGTCTTGCACTTTGCTGAGGAGCCAAATGTGTACAGGACCTATGAGGCGTGTGGCCACTCAGGTACTCTGATTGGTCGGGAAATTTGTTTTGGGTGTGAAGCAGAATGGGGCATGCGGGATGGCAATTCCACCACACATTTTGCCAAGGATTACGCACTATGGTGAAGCGATTAAGGCAAGAGCTTCTGGGAAAGGTTGGTGTGCTCTTATGGACCTTGAACGCGTCATGAACAAAGACCAAGACGACTGCTTGTCAATCCAGTCTAGGCATTTGAAACATTAGGTTGCGCTCTAAATTTCTCAACATAAATCCACTGAAACGATTCGATTACGATTGAAACAATTTGGAGCTTCATCATCTCTGAATGCTTCGCTGAATGCTTTCTTTCGTTGTGATGTGAGGACTGGATTCCTCTGTGCACTGTCAGACGAGAGATGTTGGAAGCATTGGTCATGTTGCTAGTTATTGCACGTGTTTTTGTTCTGTAATTGTTTACTGCATCGGTTGGAGGCCCTGGTCAACGAACAGTGTGGTGATGGAATTATGAGTGCAATAGATTTCTACCTGGATGTTGGAACCACAGTTGCTTGCTTGCACAGACACATAACTGGCGACACAAACATCAACTGCACGGGCATATCAGAGTTTTTAGGCTGGTGCAGCTGTCACCGTGCGGATGCGGAGAGCGACGTCTTGCTGTCATTTCATGCATGTCTTAGTTGCCACGGTCCTGTGCTCCCAGGTTGGAAAGAAGGGCGAAAAGCGTGTAGTTATTACAATGAATGGGAAGTTTCTTCCACATGTTGAGCAGATCGCAGCTGACAATACAGTGCCTGGGCAGATCAGAATTGCCAATGGAAATCCAATGTACTGTAATTATTGGGAAATGCCAACATTTTGTCCAGTACCATCAGTACAGTAGTACAGCCCATCAGATTCAGAATTGCCATGAATTGCCTTCAGAATTGCCTTGATGTTTGGTCCATTTGGTCCATTTGGTCCATTTGGTCCATTTGGTCCATTTGGTCCATTTGGTCCATTTGGTCCATTTTGTCAGGTACCAGGCCCTAGAGACTGAGCTCGTGTCAAAGTACCGACCGTCAAGAGTTTTTTTGTGGGAAATGAAAAGCCATTGGATAGGCAAAGTATAGAGACTACTCAGACTGGTGTGGTCTGATTATATCTGATTAGTATGTGCTTTCTGACCAAATTAATGCAAAAGTCATTGATTTGAATTGAGTGGAAAGCCAAACAGAAAAGACTTCCGTATTGCCATTCATGAATTAAAACGTGTGGCCGTTGTCAGTTTCGACTCTCCCAAACAAGCAACTTATGTATCTTATGTTCCCTTCAAGACTTTGCTTTGCCTTTCATAGCACTTGCACTTCTCAAGTCATAGTGCTATAGCTCAGATCTGCTGTCAGCCCTTCCAGTGTAATTGAGGCAAAGTGATGCTGAGTAGCTTAGCTCAAGCCCCCGTTCACAGTTCACAGGGCCCTTCAGCCAGAGCTTCTTGTCTTGTCACTGCCAGGAGTCGCGCAGAGGTTCGTCTTTGGTCCGCTTGCTTAGATTTGTCTGCAGCTTTTGAAGCACAGAGAAAATCCAAGTGATGAACGCCAGAAAACATGGTTTACCTGTTCCGAAGGACTGTTCACACTCATGAATCTTGAATCTCTCCAGCTGTTGATAGCTTTTTGATGCTTTTTCTAGGTCTCCTCGAATAGGGCATAGGGTTGGATGTGGGTCTAGGCGAATGGGGTTGGGTTGGGTTTGGTTTGGAGCTCGGGCTGGTGGGTGGGACCTAGTTGCAGGCGATAGGGAAAGGCTTGGAAGGTGTGGAGGTTTGGGGTTCAAAGTCCAGGTTCCAATTTTAATCAAGCAGAGGCCGTGTTTGCCCGCGGTTCCGTGAATATCGGCACAGTTCTGCGGGAAGGTTCCAGGAAACTGGGAAGATGCCAAATCAAGTTTCAAGTTCCAGATTCCATTTTGACCGACTCTTCTTTGCTTTTCTTTGCCTGTCTCCTGTGGAAAACTCTGTTCCTGTTGCTGTGAAGCTTCGGAGAATTCAGCGTTCAGCTGTGGTCCACAATGTCTCACAATAGCATGTCACATACATACTGGACGTGTCGTGTCGGCTATTTTCAACGCATGTGCTGCTCAAGACTGTAACTGCACGAAGCAGCGGAAGCAGCCAAAGCAGTCAAAATCGCACTTTGCGTCAAACACTTACATGACTCAACATGACGATACACGGATCTGAAATTTGTGCTTTTCAAGTACAGCGGCCCAGGCACCACGCCGTGCAGACAGCTCAAGATGTTTATCACCTGCCACCCTGGACGCAAGCGCCTGATGATGTGCCGAAGGAGCTAAGTCTGTACATGTTGGATGTTGGGGGAGTCTGGTGTTGGGGAGATCCTCCCCATGGATCTGGCTGCCTTTAGAGTGATTGCCTTTCTTGACCCTGGGTTCCACAAAGTAATTACGTTGATGGTGCAACCGTTTTTGTTCAAATGGTTCAAAGGAATGTAAACTATTCACTCTATTCACTTTGGAGTCCGTCTTTCCTGGATTTCCGAACGACTAAGTGCCTAGTTTGAGGCCCAAGAATGACTGGTAGGTCGGTAGGTCAAAAATGAGGGCTGCTGGTGTCTTTGCAACCCTCTGGCTCTGTGCGGACTAGGACAAACGACTCCTGCAGCATATCGCTTTGCGCGTTTCTCTGGAAGATGGACGAGACCTGCCTGGGGCTGCAGACAGAATTTGGTGCTGTGAGACAAGCAATGTGTTCTTGGATGTCCATGGTTTGCGATTGCTTAATCTATCCTGATTGAACCTCCTGAACCATGTGAACCATGCCCAATGCCAAAGCATCCATCTCTAGCAGATGGATTTGTATGTAGGGGGTGTTGGCATTCAGCGATTTGCTGCAAGTGTGCGAAGATTGCATGATCTTGTGCTCTTGAAGCCAGCTAGCAGGAGAAATGTGAAGAAAATAGTCACATTTTTTTTTCTTTTTTCGAGTCGTGCTATAAACTTGCTGTTTGTTTATGCAAGATGGATCGTTGGTCCACGTAGTTTCAAGAGCGCATCTCCTTCTCGAAGATATATGCAGAAGGACTGAGCAAAGCAGCAGGCATCCTTCCCAATCCAGTGTGGCGTGTACTGCGTGTACATGTTTGTTCTTCGTCCATGTCCCACTTTGAAATCAAGGCCTTGGACTCATGCAGCAAGAGCCGTGGAGGCGCGGAATGGGGCCCAGCCATGACCTTTTCACTCGACAGTTGTTTTCCATAGGACTCAACTGAGTGACAGAGTGGCTTAGTAAAGGCTTAGTATCCGCTGGCTCTGACGCATTGTTTTGTTTAGATTTCCGACATGCAATTTTGAATGGCTGCAGCCATGTAGGTGTAGTTAAGAGATGTTAAGAGGCTGTGAGGGCTTTGTTGCCGTTGTGCAGTACGTTTGAGAAAGATCTGAGGCCTGGGATGCTGAACTTTTTCTGGCCAAAGGTGCTACAGATTCCCAGACACAAGGCATGGAGAGCGCAGATGCAGCAAAGCTCAACTGCGGTTTATCCTTTCTGCGAGAGTAGTTTTCCGCAAGTGGACCAGAAGCGTTCAGCATCACTTGCATACTTCTGGTCTCTGCCTTTCACAGAACACTGGTGCAAACAGCAAAGGGAGCGTTTTGAAGCTTGGAACACATTGGAACTATTGCATTGCCACAATTTTAGCGGCTCGCCCAGCAGGTCTTCGCAGCTTCAGCGATGACATTGTCTTTCTGCATTTGACCATGGCCTTCTTGGCCGATGAGTGTTTGGCAATGTCCTCGGTGTTTCGAACACCCAACTGAATTTGGGACAAAGCTTCTCTGACGCCCAAATGATGTTGAATGATTCTGAATGAATGATGTTGAATCCATATTGACATATTGAATCAAGATTGAATCATGTTGAACAGTTTGCCAACTTCATCGCAGTGGTTCGGTGCACGTAGTGAATGGAGAGGTACTGTCGTAGTTGATTGCAGTTGGCTTGTCTTTTTATGCGAAAATGCGCTGCTGAGGTGCCTTTGCTCCTTCCACCCACCACGGTCATGGACTCTGGCCACAAAGCTGCACTTGAAAATATTTCTTGAACATTCTTGAACTCAAGTGGATTCAAAGTTGCAAGTTGAACCCGTGATTTCAAGAACTTCCACACTTTGCAGCTTGTGGGTTCGTCTTCTAAGTCTCCTCCTGTGGATGAATTCCTTTGCGCGCACTTGACATAGATCCTTGCCACAATGGACGTGAGAACTTTGTAAAGATCAGGCGCTATGCAGCCACATGTTGATGAGCCCCACGGGCATTATTGCAACGTGTATGTCCCTGGGGCTTACTCTTTCGGATTCCATGTTTTGTCATAGGAAGCGTGATTTGTTTGCTCTTCATGTCATCTCATTCTGTCTGCAATCTTTGTCTGTCTTCCTGCCTGTGCACCCTGTGGCACTCTGTGCATGTGTCCCTGTCGGACCCTGTCGGACCCTGTCGGACCCTGTCGGACCCTGTCGGACCCTGTCGGACCCTGTCGGACCCTGTCGGACCCTGTCGGACTGGAACTTTCTCTGAGGTGGTTCCACTCCGATTGCCTCCGCGCCGGCTTCACCTTTATCTGCCTGCGTTTTCGACGCCTGTGACTCAGACAGCTCCAGCGAAACGAACCATTCGACTTCAGTGTCTTTCTGGCTCCAGAATGGATTTGGAAAAGACATGGAAAAGGAAGGCCAAAAAAACAACGAACGTAGAACATCGGATCGCAATCTATTCTTTTCCAACGAATGCCATTACACTTTTTATTCAACACTTCGATAAAAGAGGCAGACTGTTGGAAGATTTAGTGAGCAATCATCTCGTTGAACCAGACAATGTAAGGACTATATGTACATAAACAATCATAAATATGTATAAATACATCGAAATATCATGAAATAGAATTGATGTATGTAAGATCTGTAAGATCTATCTATCTATATATATATATATTTCTTGCTTGAAATTTCCACGTCACTTTTCTCACCGTATTGGCAAGGCGAGTCACCCTGTCCATGCCTGGAGCTTCCTGGTTTGTGACCTTGCAGAGGTGCCGAAACTTTGCGAAATCCACACATCAAATTGCTGAACAAACATATTCTAAACAGATTCCATTCATTTCCATTACATTAATCATTAATATATATATATATTAAACATGTACTAAATATAATACAATATATATGTAACATTTTATACACAACATATCACAACATATTATGTACGGAATTGTACACAAATTCTCAATCATGTTCACATTATTTCTTGTGCATTCTCCATTCTCAAATACAGATGGCAAGAGTCCTTCTTTCTTCTTTCTTTCCTCTGCTTTTTGAAGTACTTCTGCACTCTCTCTCTCTCTCTGTATGTGATTGATTCATTCTCAAATAGGAAACATGTTCCTCGGATCATTTGAAATGAGAATCAAATCAGTCCTCAACATTTTTCCGTGGTGCCAAGCTCTGACGATGTTTGTGCCACAGATCACCAACTACAGGACATTTTGCCCTACGGCGTTACAGTAGCATTCGTACAAACTTAGGATCCAGTGGTCAAAGCGATGACACGCAAGAATCTCTTTTCCACGCCCGACTTTTCTTGACAGCTCAACGTAGCACGCCCACACAAACTACAAGACCAAATTCGCTGGGCAGGGTGGATCAACGGGTTTCTACTGTAATGTCTGCAACGCCAGAGCAATCCCACTGAGCCTACTGTTTTCACGTGTCTTCACCGTGTTCCCCTTCCTGGCTTTGAAGTCTCTTTGTCTCTCTGGATCCCCATCATTCCTTCCCGCGTTCATCCCCTCCCAGAACTATTTGACCCTTTTTTTTTTCATCTGCATTTTATGTCTTCATGAATTTGCTATTATCCCTTGTATATCCTTTTCAGTCATCTTTATTCCTTCTCTTTCTCTCATCATGGGCGACAATCTTTGATTGAGCGATCCATTTGTCCCCGACGTGCTTCATTCTACTTGTTTGGCTACCAGCTTGCGAAGGCACAGGAGGTGGAAGCCCATAAGAAGAAAGCTGCAGGAGGCTCCGATCCCGAAGAGAACAATGGAACAACAATTGAAGTTCTTTTCGTCATTGCAGTCACTGTGAACCAACTGCATCGATGTTTGAACTGCTGGCGCATTGATTATGTTTTAAGAAAATGGTGTTGATATTTGGAACCAAGAAAAATCGCCTTTTCTTAAGTTTTGCAAATTTTG